TTGCTTTTTCTAAAAGTTATGATTTTGTGTGTGTGTGTGTGTCGTTTAGGTTTTTTATACTAAAATCTTTTATTTTTTTGTTTTTACCTAATTACGATTAATTGGTACAATTTTATTTGTTAATTTCCGTTTTCTTTTTCTTTTTTTTTGAAATAATTTTATACAACAACCGTAATTTTTTAATTTTAAATTGATGTCTAATAAACTCCGTTATTTATTTTATATTGTATATTTAAAAAATGTATATGTTATATTTTATAAAATAATATAAAATTTTTTATTTTTATAAAATATTGCATATAAAAACTATGTAATATAGTATATAAGACTTTTTTGTTATTATAGATGGGTACCTATTTAAAATATATAGTCAAGATGAAATTAGTCGAATTTATTTTTTTATTCTGTTTTATTTATTTTAATTTCTTTTTGTAGGGGAGTTTATTTAAACGTTGTCTGATCATCAATAAATTTTATATTATATTTGTTTCTTTTTTTGTTTAATTTGTTTTTTTTTTGATAACACATTTAGAAGTATTGCAGAGAACAATGAAAGTATAGAAATTCTTTAAATTATGAAAGGTTCATTTTGTGTACGTACAACGTGTAAAAAAACAATTTATAATCAGACTTTAGAAAAGTATGTTTTAAAAGTGTTATAGTTCTTTTCCTTTAATGAAAAATAATATTGTCCATAATATATTGATGGAAATATGAAAAATTAAATTTTAAATACGATTTCAGCAAAGTGTAGCCATAAATTTTATGAAATTATTAAATACGTTGACAAATCTACTTTAAAGAACTAATATTGTATATATATAAGTACACAATATAAGAATTAAATATGTATATGGCTTTTCAAATGTCACAGAGAAATTTGTTTTAAAAAAGTTGTACAAATTAAATTATTATAATACTCAAAATTAATAATAATGGAAAATAGTTCAAATAATTTCTAAAATTGTTTAATATAATTTTAATTTATTAATATAATTATAATTATTTTTATTAAAACATAATCATTTAACAATGAGAGGAAATATTAAATTTTCCCTGTGTATCTATACTCTCTTGAATTATTATTAATTGAATTATATTATTGTTGATGTGAAATTTTCAATTGTGTTATACACAATAATATACTTACTCGTTTTTGTCACAATAACCTTTACAATACTTACAAGAATTCTTATATTATAATTTATAATGATATAAATTTGAATTTCGTTCATAATTTTAATTTTGAAAATATTCAATATTGAAGGAAATTTATTATTTCCCTATATAGGAAATTTTTTATATCCCTACAACTGTAACAAAAATAAAAATTAATGTTTTATAGGGGAGCATAGCTATATGTCAAGTTATTGAATTTATAATTTTAAACGTTTGAGTTAATTAATTTTTAAAATTTTGTTATCGCCAGTTATCGCCAGAGTATGATAAAAAAAAAAAGTTGGTTAACCAGAAAATTTGTTTAAAATTTTCAGGAAATTCTTAATTTCCTCGAAATAGAGTATTTGTTAAATATTAATGATGTCGTCGTACAACGTTAATGTATAGTGTAGCTGTTTGGTTTATTTTTCGATAAAATTCTAAATTATAATAGATTTGTCTGGGGAAATTAAGGAAAAAATTAAAATAAAATTAAAATAAAATAAAATTTTTTTTTTGTGTTTTTGCTTTCAAGTTTTTATTTGTTTTGAATTTTGTGATGAACGATTTATTTCATTTTTTTTTTTTGTTGTGTTATTATAAATATAAAAACGATTTTTATTAATTTATTACTTATTTTTTTAAAATTTATTGTTTATTTTTATTAATTATAAATTTATAATTTATAATCACCTATATAATTTTTGCTTTTTTTTTGAATTAATATTAATTTTTTTTTTGTTTTATTTTCTAGAAAATTTTGAATTTTGGCACCTTGTTTCCGAAACGTGAAAAATTTATAAAAATTTTTTTTTTGTATTTTATTGTGATTTTACGATATACATATATATGTATATATATATATATTCATATTTATATATAGATTTTATATTACTATTAATTAAAAACTTTTTTACATTTTTTTTTGTTTGAATATGTATATATAAGTGTATTATTATTTAATTTTTGTAAAATTAAATGAATTAACATTTTTTTGGCTTTGAAGTTTTAATTTTTTATTCTTTTTTTAATTTTTTTTTATAAAATATGATTTTTTAATATGTGTGTATTTTATTTGTTCAATTATTTTTTTTTTGTTTGTTTTTTTTTTGTATATATTATTCTCATGTAATCCTTAGTAATCGTTATATAATATAATATTATTATATTAATTTTTTCTTCCATTAGATTTATGTAATTATTTGATAATGATAAAAATAGATTTATTAATATTCTTAATAGTGAATTATTTAACATTATAGTTAACAATTTTTTGTATATATATATATATATATATGTAATGTGTATTTATTTATACGTATGTATATATAAATATTATTATATATAAAATCCACGTTATAATATAAATATGTACATAAATAAATTATAAATAATATGAGAATAATGAAAAGAATTTGATTTAATAAAAAAATTAAATTACATTGTAAAAGTATTGTATGTAGTGTCATTATAAATACAGTAGACTTTCATTTTTATTTACATATTATATGTATATAAGAATATATGAAAATGTATATAAACAAGTTCATGTTATTTGAACAAATGAAATTTTACAAAATTTTTCTTTTTTTTTAAACAAAAAACCGGAAAAAACTATCACTAGATATAATTTGTAATTAATTGACAATAATAAATAGTATAACACATATACAATTTTTAATTTTTTATAGCGACTAGAAAAAAATTATCTAAAATTACATATAAATTTTGTATAGAATTATAAACCGGACGAAATTTTAAATAGAAAATGTTTGCATAATTATTAGAGGTAGGAAAATAAAAAATAGATTTTAATTATTGACTATTACTAGTTTTTATAAACTGAAGAATTTTAAGGTTTTTACGAAACTGTTTCGATTAAAATTTCTTGAAAAGAAGATTTTATTTCTTGTAAGATAAAAATATAAAATATAACCATGCAAAATAAATTCCCATGTGATATTCTCAAAATATTAAAATTATTTTTTTTTTAATTTTTGCCATATTTGTTAAAAGACACAATTAATTTTTTAAATGTAAATTGAATTGCATTATAAGTTTGTATTGCATTTAACGAAATTTATTTATATTTATTCATTTAGCTGAGAATCTACTGTTTTTAAAATAAATTTTTCTAATAAGTACACAAAATTTATTACAAAAATAATTGTTTTATAAAAAAAATATATTGAAATTTTTATGATTTTACAGATAAATGATGATAATGATTAATTTATGATAATTTTTAATAAAAAAATAATTTAATAATTAATATTAACAGTGATAATTAAAAAAAAATTAAATAAAATAAAATCTTTTTACGTATACATAACAAAAATTTACCAAAAAAACAAAATATTTTAAAATATTAAAAATAAAATAAAATTAAAAAATTTTATTTAAAAATTGATTTAAATTTATTATTTTTATTTTTAATATTATTATTTCTCTTTAAACTTCATACAGCTATTGAATAATCAGATGGATGTGATGACTGTTGATGCTGTTGCTGTAATTGTTGTAATTGTTGTAATTGATGTTGTTGATGTTGATCATTATTACTAGTCGGTCCGACAATACCGATAACACCACCGGTGGTACCACCTATAGCATTACTATTACTATTATTACTAATTGTGTTGTTGTTTATATTATTATTACCATTATTATTATTATTGTTGTTGTTACTGTTGTTATTATTACCAGCTGTTGGCCTTGACCATAATGTCGATCTCATACCTAATTTTAATTTTTTAATTGTATCAATGTCACATTCAGCTTCTGATAATTCCTGTCGATCCGGTGTACTTCCTTCAATTGGTATTTGATGATGAAAATTATTTATACTATTGCTATTTCCTCCGCCGCCACCACCACCACCTTGCCCTGTGGGTGTATTCTCTTGTAGTTGTAATGGTAATAGTGTTCGCAATGTTCCCCTGTTCAGGATTAATTATAATTTTCTTATGTCATTGAATATTGAAAGAATTTTTTTTTTTTAGATTTTTTAGTGAGTTTTTTTTTCAGATTTTTTTTTTTTTTTGTGAATTTTTTAAGATTTTTTTTTTATATATATATAACAAATTATAAAAAAACGTTAAAATGTTATAAGTATTACTTTTTTTAATTGATTTTTTTTTTGTTTTCTTAAATTTAATAATATAACAATGCAAATTCAATTCGAATAACACAGAATAATTAAAACAAAGTAGTAAATTTTGAATAAAAAATTAAATATTTTAAATTATAGGCCCATTTTTTTGTTTATTTTTTTTTTCTTCTGCTTGGCATCTTTTTCATGGTTAGGCCATTTGGTATCATTTAAAATTTTGATTTAATTTGAAAAATAGACGAAATACTGACACATACAATAACAACTTATTCAAATAATTCGTATAACAGTAAAAATAATAATAATAATAAGAAAAAAAGCGTGCAAAAGAGACAAATCAAATTTTTTTTATTGTTTTCATTTAGTTTTCAATAATTTCCACTTTTTAATATTTTTAAAAATTTTATTCTATAATAATTTTCTAAATTTAATTTACAAAAAAAAAAAAGAGAAAAGAATAACATGTTTTTTATATTGAGATTTTAGGCCAATCTTTATGGCAATTTTTTGTTATTTTTTCAATACTATTTTAGTTTTTGTTTAGAAATTTATTAATTATTTTTATTAAAACATTTATTTAATTTTAAAGAATTAATATAAGAATATAACTAAGAGCAAAATATTTTATATAGATGACATTTGTAAATATGTAACGTATTTTAATGTATGTACTTTTTGTGTGTGTATATGCGTTATATGCTATAAATATATATGAATGAGATTTTGATTCTACTAATTAACTAAATCCATATATAATAATTAATAATTAAATGTAGTTGATTAATGAAATATTTTTTTTTATTTTTATTTTTGATTGTATTTAAAGATTTGTTTTTTTTTTTTATCCTTTTTGATAATTTCGAGTGTAATATAATGATAATATACATGTATGATGTATATGTACATTTAAAACGAACAGAAAAAAAAAAACGAAAAAAAAACAACAAAAAAAAAACTAACAAATTTATTTACGTAAAGTCGTCGCTGAGAAAAATTTCGCAGATGTTGGTGTTGTTGGTGATTCAATAATTGATGTATTTGATGGTATGGTTTTGTGTGGAATAGGACGAAATTGGGAAGGCATGCGGGATTGTATTATTGACGATGCTATTGAATTAACTGGTTGTTGTTGTTGTGGTTGTTGTTTATTATTAATAATTGATTGATTTTGTGATTTAACATTGCATACATTTGCTTGAGTACTACTATCACAATTACTATTATTATCTAATAAATTATTTGAATCAATTAAATTTGAATTTGAATTAGAATTTTTTAATAAAATTGATTGAGTTGATGAAATTGTTGTTGGTGTTATTATTGTTGATATTGTTTTATTTGAAGATGGTGATTTTTTATTTAAATTTGAATTATTAGAATTTGAATTTTTTAAACTATTTATAATATTTGATGTTGTTGATGTTGTTGTTGTTTTTGTAGTAGTAGTACTACCACATTGTATTGCATTTGAATTAGTAACTAATTTATTTAAATTTAATTTTTTACGATTATTACTACTACGTGGGGATGTGACTAATAACGTTGTGATATTATTTGCATTTAAATTTGAGGATTTTGAGTGTCTTGGTGTTGTGTTTGTCGAATAAAGATGTTGTTGATGATACCTTGATCTACCACGTCGTGGTAATGATTTTTGTTCTGACATTGGTGATAAATCTGATGATGTACTTGATTGGGCACCATGATAAATAATACCTATTAAAAATGAAAAAAAAGAATAAAAAAAAATAAAGAAATAATTAAATTATAACGAAAATAATCAGAATTATATTATGTAATAGGTTATTATAATAAAATAGGGAGAATGTATATGTATATAAATAACATTAAATAAAAATGAAAAACTTATTTTTATAGAATAGGGGCGCATAGGAACATTTTAATCCTTTTTTTTTGCAGAATTCTGCTATAAAATTGTGGGAAAATAATATTATTTAAGAACAATTTCTTATTCTTTTATAGGTAATGATAATACATGTTATGTAATCGGAATTGCTAGCTTTTCTTTAATGAATTAAATGAATTGTGTAGTATAGGTAGTTGAATAATTAAGTGTTTTTATAGCACAAGGATATTACAAAATACAGTAACTGTTATATCGTTCTACTATTTGGGGATTATTAATATTTTACTAAAAACCATTGATAAACCATTACGGTATATTTTTCGCTACAATAAACGTTCCAAAATTAAGTGCGAATCAAACAATAAGGAAATTATACTTTTTTAAAAATTTAAAATTTTGTATATAATTTATGGAATTTTTAATAAGCTATATTTTACAAAGGGGTATATAGGGTTATTTTAAACAATTTATTATATAAAACAGATTTAACACTGCGACAAGTATACATTTATGATATCGTATAGTATATTAATATTAAAAAGCAAAATAACAATAATAATAACGTAATTGCCAGGTCTGGACATTAATAGAAAGAAAAGAGGAACGAGAACGCACAAGTTAGACAAAAGTATTATATTAGTGACAGTTTTGGTTATTTGTCATTGCTTGAAAACAACGAATGACAATAATTCTTATTTTATTAAATGTCCAGGTCTCGTAATTGAAGTAATACCATGGGAATAACAAATAATAACAGTTAATTGTGTAATATTCTTAAAATATATATATATATACGTATACAGTATAACAGTTTATAGCTTCTTTTTATATAAATGTAAGTTTTAAAGCTGTAAAATGTACATTAATTTTTAATTATATTTTGCGAGTTTCATGGATTTAATTTGCTAAATTATAATTGTATAAATTTAAAAAGCAAGTAAATTATTTGTATAAAATATGTTTTAAATAGTTAGTTTATAGTTTTCGATTTTTAATTTGTCTCAAATTTGTTTTTTAAAAAGTTCAAAAATTGTGAAAAGGTATATGAAGAATTTTCACATTTTGTTATAAATATTAATTATAGTGCATTCCGGTTGGTTTGTTTAACTATAAAATTCTAAATTGTGTCGTTACTCTTATACCAAGCTTAAGAATATTGTTCATTAGAATTATATTATAGGATATTATTAATTTGTCCTTTTGTATAGGACATTATTAATTAAAAATAATGCAAAGAAATTACGTATTGAAATTCTGTTATATTACGTATTTTGTTACTCTGTATAAACAGAAATGAATTTTAGTGTAAAAGATTTGTCATTTATATTTTCTATATGCAAAAACATACATATACGCCTATCTACCGGAACAAATGTGCAACACTACAGTTTTAAAATGACTTTTTTGTTTTATAAAAGTGGCTTGATTGTTGAGATTTTTATACGCTTTTTTGAAATATATAGCAGTCTCATAATATATACTGCTAAAAGGAATACAATTATTTTTTGCATTTTATTCAACTTAATTTGCAACATTTTTGCGTATATGAAAAATTATTGTGATTTTAATTTTTAAGAATTAAAATAGGATACAGCACAAATATATATACATATATATATATATTTATGTGGTAATATAAGATAAGTACGTATTCTTCCTTAATAAAATACTTAGACTTAGAATTGTTTTCTTTTTCAAGAAAAAATTGAAGAATTTATAAAATTGTATAAATGTATGTTAATGTATATAATATTATATATGTATATGTAGATTCTTTAAAATAAAATGCAATATATGAAATAGCTATATATATACTTACTATGTTTTAATTTTGCTGCTTCTAATTGATTTGATGATTCAGTTCGACTCGATGTTAATGGATCTTGATCTGATTCTGATTCTTCACTTTCAGGTTCAGTTTTTCTTGAATGTCTACGTCGATTTTTTTGTGTCTATAGGTTTGTTTGTTTGAAATTTCATATAGTATAATATACAAAGAATAAAATTCATATTGTTAAATTTTCGTATACAATTAATAATGTTGAAAAATAAACATTTTTTTTTTTGCATATATGTGTTTAATTCTACTTTTTTTCTGCATTTACGGTATAATTAAATAAATGATTGAGATCAAAAAAATTTTTTTTTTTCATTTATGTTACAATTTTATAGTTACAACAATAATAATTTGTTGTGTATTCTAAAATGCTAAAAAGGATTTTATGCATTTTTTGTATTTAATATTTTTGTTCTTTTATTATTTTTGCTTTTGTTTATTAAATCAATCATTTATTTTCCTTTTGTGTTTTTTTTATAACCAAGCAATATTTAATTAAATCTTAAATAACTATACAATATATATCATATAATAGGCTTTAAAAGTATTTTTTTAAGCGGAAATATTAAAACAAAAAAAAAAAAACTAAAATTAATTGAATTTTGAAAATTAAATTCTTTAATAACTATAATAAAATAAACAAAATATAAAAAAAAATTATTATATTTGCATATGAAAATTTTGTGTAATTTTGATCCTTGTATAATCCTTACGTATTTACAACATACGAGTATATGTGAAAAATCATGTTAGCGTTATTCATACGTGTATGTTTGTACAATATCTAGCGTATGAAGCGGGTATGAATGAGTATATCAACTGTTTATATAATTATGCCTATGTATTAAAATATTTTACTATATATTTTATAAAAATATAAAATATTCATATAATTTGAATGTATATTTAAGTATAATTTATTATAATCTACCTGTGTATTTTTGTTAATAAAAATGAAAGAAGCATCAACAATGAATATATTTAAGAAAATAAATATAAGCAAAAACAATGTTATATATATATACTTATATATTTCATTTTATGCAATTATATATATGAAATATATAAGTTTTTTATTTTTTACTTTTATGCTAGAAGAAAACGAGATAAAAAAAAAATTAACAAAATTGTGTACATAAATATACAAGGAAAGAAAAACAAGAAAACAGCCAATTAGAAAATAAAAGAAAATAAAAAAATCATAACGCACGATATTATAATATGGAGATGAGGAGGTTTTCAGTTGTCTAAGTACCGCAGCTGGTGGTGGCGATGAACATCCTTCAGTTAGTGCTCTCTCATGATACATAAACGAGTGTAATAATGTATTTGCTGGTCCTGTATGATGCGGTTGTGCTAATGTACTAGCTTCTGATAATTGAAATGTTGCATATGGTGAAATATCTTCTGAAGTTTCTGTTTATAATAGTAATAATAAAAACAACAAAAAAAAATATCATAAAAATGAAAATAGAAGATGAAAATAATAAAATTAATAACAAGTATACATACATATAGTATACGTATATATAAAGATGATAATAATATTTTCATATACGTGTATACATACATATATAAATATATATAAATATATATAAAATTTTATTAAAAAATGAAATAAACAACACAACGACAATATTATATGCAAAAACATAAGAACAAAATGAAAAAATAAAAACAAAAATAAAAATTATTAACAATTAATGAATAAAAAAAAAGAAGCAAAATGAGAAAAAATAAAATAAAACAATAAACAGTAAAACAGAAGAAAAACTGCAAAAACAACAAAAAAGAAAAATATGAGAAAAAAAATGTATGATGAATTTGGTTCATTATCCTTTTTTTATTTTTTCTTTTTAGATTATAAGATGGCATAGAGAAGAGAAGACAAAAAACACGGAAAAAATGAAAAACAAAAATAAAATGTATATAGAAAAAGAATAATGATAAGACTGGCTGCCATGTTATATGCTCCTTTTGTAATCCTTTTTTTTTCTGTTTCTCTTCTAAATCAGAATCCCTCAAGCGATTTTTAATATTTTGTTTGTTTTCTCGTTTTATTTTAGAAAATTTTCTCTTTTCATGTTAAAATTTCACAAAAAAAAAAAAAAAATGTTTATAAGAGTATAATTTTAAGGATTTTAACTGGAATTATAATACTATGCTATAATGTTAATTAATTGTAAATAAATTGAGAGGAAAATTTATAATTAAATATAAAAGAAATTTTTGACGGGTTTCTTTTACTCAAAAATGTAAATTGGTAATTTATTTTTTAAATTTCAAATTTAAATAATTTATACATATATGCGAAGAGTTTAATTAGTCATTGTAATAAAATTCATAAAAATTTGAAAATAAAATTAATTGTATATTAAAATGATAATATATGTATATAGAGAATATAGAGAATATAAAATATAAATGATTTAATATAGTAATTCATTATATTCTTGTGGTTTGAAAACGAAAAAAATTGTAAATCGAAAAATTGTATTTCGATAAAATTAAGTTTAAAGTTTAGATTTAAATAAATTTTTAAATTTTTGTTTGGCATTAAAAAAAACAAATTTTTAAGAATAATTTTCCTTAGAACGAATTGAGGTCCATTTCTTTACCTAGAAGCAGTTATAATACTTATAAGAGCAGATATTACTGAACTATCTGAACTTATAATGTACTTATACAGGGCACTTCGAAACTAATAATAAAAGGTTTCGGGGAATATTTAGGAAAAAAGTTGTTGATGTTGGTGGAGAGGGCTGAACTGCAATATCTATTAGTAGTTTTAGAATGTTAAAGAAAATCCGATTGCAAAATTCAGTTTGACAAAAATGTCTATATAACTGTTTCGAAAATGAATAAAGGAAAAATCAGTATATCAATATTAGTTAGATTTGATATAAATTTAGTTTAAGAATGATACAAATAATTTAACGATGAATACCTTTAAAGAAGAAAATAATGAATTTCGTATATAAAGTGCTTGCCCTGAATTCTAAATTAACAAAAAAATTTTTAATTTTTAGCGACGATATTTTTAACAGGCAAGATAATCGCATATTAACTTTTCCGTCTAGCAAAATGTTCTTAATAAATTAGGATAAATTTTCTTTTAATATAGTTCCAATTGAATTTCAGAACTACTTGATCTTATAATAATTAATAAAATCGGGTTTTTGGCATTATTTTTTTAATTGCATTTTATTAGATATTTATTATTAATTTCAAGTGAATTTTAAAAATTAAAATATTGCCAATATGGAAATCGTATAATGTAAATTATAAAAAAATGCAAACTAAATAATAATAAAATAAATAAAAAATGAAAAGTAAATAATTAGAAATAAGAAATAATTAATTTTCAATATTAATAATTGATAATAAAACAAAATTTTATTTCAATTTAAATTATCATAAACAATGTATATAAACAGAATAATTTAACTTATGAATGTAAAGTATAAGTAATTTAATTTAATTTAAAAAATTATTTCTAAAAATTCAAAATATTTATAATGAGAATAATTTTGTTTTTTTATAAATATTATTTTTACGAGTAATTTCGTTTTATTTATTATATATTATATATTATAAGAGTTTTAATGATTCCTAAATTAACCCGATAAACCTAGATTATACTACTTTTTAAAAAGCGGCTTTCTATTAATATTATTGTTTTAAAATTAACGGTACTAAACCATATTTGCCGTTGTTTTATTGATTTTATAAAATTTACAATGGAATTTTAAAGAAATAAATAAATGAAAATTGAAATTATTTTATACTGAGAAAAATTTTGTCTAATTTAGCCTAGTGTTGGGTGGCAGCGGTAGTACTGCCGTCTCCCCTTTCTAACTAACGAGAACAGAAGCAAACTATATCTGAAATCACGGAAAATCATAATTTAATGTTATTTCAAGCAAATGTATTTCTTATCTCTTTATTTTCAGTTGAAATATAATTTAAATAGTTTTAGAAATGTACTGTTTTCAAATTAATTCTAGTTTGAGCAGTTTATGAAAACAAATTATCTATTTGGAATAAAAGAAATTTCTGAATAGATAACAATAATTTTGTACATATTTTGTTTAATAATTTTACTATAAGAAGAATATTATTTTCAAGGAATTGAGAAATATTTATAACATATAAAAAATAAATTCTTTCTCATTTGGAAATCATTTTAATTAAATACCAATAAACTTGTGTCCATCGAAATATTTTTTATTCAGCTACATTTTTTTTTTTGAAAAACTAAAACGGCTTTTTCCCAAAGAGCTATTATTATATCTTTATTACAACACTTATACATACGAGTATATTAAAATTTTATCCCTTTTAGTTTTATTTTATTCATATAATTGAAATAATTATAGCGCGTTTTACTATAAAAAGTATTAAAATATGTTTATTTTATATAAAGATAAAAATTGTTTTAATTTTATATAAAAATATTGTGAGTTGTTAAACATTTTGTTTACAAAGCTTTAATATGCAAAGCTTTAATATCTTCGAAATGCTTTATAGCCACTTTAAGATATGCGTTTTTTTCAGTGTAATTTTGAGTGAATAAATTTTGTTTAAAAGAAAAAAAACTTTTATTAATATATTTGCAGTCATCTGTTATCTGTTAATTCAAATAATATTAGGTTGTAATAATTAAAAAAAAAAGTGATTTTATACAATGGGTAAATTAAGGGATTAAAAGTTCAGAACAGAATGGATGTAATTAAAAATTTGCTATAGAACCACAGAATCATAAGATATCAGCAATATAAATATAAAAAGAAAAATTTCTTTAAAATGTTTTGAGATAAAATAACAAAAAAAGGTAAATAATTGTTTCTCTTAGTTGTTTTTCTTATTTTTCATGAGTAGAAAAATTGCGTTGGAGCACAAATCGTAATGACAGTGCATATAGTTCTATATAAACAGACTAATGATATTCAAAATTTTTGATTTTTTCTAAAAAAAAAAATTGGAAAGGATTAAATTCATGATTTGTTTTTTTATTTTAAAATTTTTGAATAAAATCAGATACAAATTTTTATGACATTTTTATTCCTCTACATTTACTTCTATTTGCGATTTTTTTTCATATTATATTTTATTGAAATAAATTTACTATATTGTATACATAAATATGTAAGTATATACATATGGTCTATATTATTGATATGATCGTATATATTTTTCTATATAAGTTATATTATAGTTGTATAAATTACCTGGAATCTTATCATTGTTTTGCAATGAAACTTTATGAATGGTAGCGTAATAACGTTCACGTTGTGCGGCTTCACTGTTTTGACGATTTTCCATTGCTTCCTTTTGAATGCGACTGCTTTGTTCTATTTTCCATTTCATACAACATATAATATGCATGAGATTGAAATCAAAAAAAGAAAGAAAGAATAAAAAAAATAAAATCAAATCAAAATTAGAAATAAAAGAAAATAGAAAAAAAAAAAGAAATAGGAAAAAAAATATCCTTTTTCGTTTTTTTTTTTGTTGGTTTTTTATTTTTTGTGGGATTCGAGAATATACATATGTATATGAGAAGCAAAGGAATTTATAAAGAAAATATGATATAAAAAAGATTGACATAGTTGAAAATATTTGGGACTGATTTGATTTCAGGAGAAAATGATAAACAAAAATATGTATATATATATATATATATATATACATATATATATATATTATGTATTTATATTGAAATATAAATATTTGATATGTTTTGTGCAAGAATTCGAGAAATTTCATATAAAAATGAAAAGCATAAAAATTTAAAGCTAAAACAAAAAATAAAACAAAAAATAAAACTAGAAACTTAATAAAAAAAATCGAATGAATAATGAAGATGATTGGAGACAAACAATGTCATATTGTATATATAAATATACACATACATATACAAACATACATAATATGTAGGAGAAAATCTATGCATATATTCAGATTTTCCACATATAATTGAAAAATTTTCATTTTTTTGACAGTAATTTTTCTATTTCATTACGCCAAAATATTGAATTTCGCGTTCACGTAGCATAATTTTTGCGTTCCATTTAGATATGAAAATAGTTCATAGTTGATAGTAGCTATGGTAAATGGGTTTTTAATGATATGATAGTCAAAGCTAACCCATTAATTTTTAATATGAAAAAAAAAAATTTTGAAATTTTTTTTCATTTTAAAAGTATAAAAGCCATCGGCCGGAATAAATATTTAAAACTATTGTATATCTTTAATATTAATAATTTATCTCTTATTAAGTTGAGACTAGTTAAGAATAAATCAAAAATAAAGCACAATAAATATGTTTGTATATATATATATATGTACATAACTATATACGTAATATATTAATGACGTATGTTAATAGATTATAAGTTTATGATATGATGATTTACGTAAATAAGATGAAAATATGAATAAAAAAAAAACATCGACAAACATAATTTATTATTTAATAACAATATATATTAATATATTACACTCTCACATATTTATGCAAATACATACATAATGTATATATTGAATATATGAGTATATAAGCATTATATGAAATAAAGTATATTTTTGATACTCACTGTGTTTATAGCACATAACAATTAATGCAACCGTACAAATAATTCCTGATATTGTTGCAATACCGGGTATTAATAAATTAACATTTCCATAAAATAAATTTGCTTGTTGACCTCTTTCAACAATTTCTGGTGGCGGTGGTTCACCATCCTTTGTTAATGTTACAAATTGATAATCAATTTTTGAAACACCAGCAACATTATGTGCTTCCATTTTTATTTGATACAATGTTGCTGGTTTTAAACCATTTATTATAAAACGTCTTTGTGGTTTTAATTGATTTGATACTAAATTTTTTTATATTTTGTATTTTATAATTAAAAAAAAATGGGTTGGTTAGTTTAAGATTTTTGTAGATTAAAAATATTAATTGAAAAGGCCACGATTTACTTACCTAATATCCAATTTTTCTCGATGGTATCCATTAAACAACGATATTGTAATACAAAATATAAAATAGGACAGCCATTATCCGGCCATGTATGCAGTCTTAAGACAACCGATGTTGAATTTGGAGCTATTAAATTGGCAGTGGATGGCATACCAGGTGATTGACCCTGTGTACGTACATGTAATGAGGTACTTGGTGGTGATGTTCCTATTTTATTATGTGCAGTTAAAAATACTTGATAAGTGCTTCCACAAACAAGACCTTTTAGTTCATGACTAGATAAATGACGTGATAAATGCATTTCTTCTATATTACCCTGTGCACGTCTATAATGTAATGTATAACCAGTTATTGGAGAATTACCGTTAGCACCGCTTTTCCAATGCATTAATATACTACTTGATGTACCACTTGTTACATATAAAACGGGTGATGATGGTGGTACCTGTACTACTAAAACATGATCTAATCTATCAGTACCTACACCATTATCAACTTGACAACTATAATTTCCTTGGTCAGTGACTTGTAAATTCGATATTATTAGATCACCTGTTTCTAACATTTGAGTATTATGAAAAGCGCCTTGTCGTAAGGAAATACCACCTTTGTACCATTGAGTTTTCGGTTTACCAACCGATTGACAGAATAATGTCACAGTAGAACGCCATGGTCGGACTACTGTCCCACCAAAAGATACAATTCTAGCAGGAACTCTATTTGTTGCAACTTGAGAAGCTACCCTCGAACTTTTTCCTTCTCCAACGCGAGTTGATGCTGAAACCCAAAATTGATATTCGATGTGCGCTTGTAAATTTTTCGCTTCATAAGAAAGTTGTTGAGATGGAAGATTTCGTTTTTCATGATTAAGTTCTTCCCGACCATTTACAACACGAGTATATAAATTGTACTTTGTAATAACACCATTTGGCTCCTTCGGTGGTAACCAAGAAATAAATAATGATTGAGGTGAACTAACAACTACTTTAATATCAGCTGGAGCTTCTGGTGCATCTTCTTCGGTATGGCAGTATGTAGAATCAGATATTACACCATCACCCATACGAGTATAGGCTAACACCTGAATACTATAATTTGTATATTTTTTTAAACCTGTTAAAACTGTTGTAAGTGTAGTTGTCTTTCGTGTTTCAACATGATCTTGTCCATTTGTTGAATCTTCTAATATTGGTTCAAAAGTTAATTTATATCCAACAAGCATACCATTAGTATGATGAACTGGTGGTGGTTGCCAAGATACTTGTAATGATTGTGAAGTTAATGCTGCGCATCTTATATCTTCCGGTGGGCGACTAGGAACATCTTCCATTGTTTGTGCAGATATTGGGTCCGTTAATGGACCTGGTCCAACTTGATTAAATGCTTGTGCTACTATTATATAACGTGTATATTTTTGTAAACCACTTAATAAATATTCATTTATGACACCATCACTATCGCCTGGTACCGATGTAAAATTATATGTGCTACTTTGTGAGTTTGATGTTCTAAAACCAATATTATAACCTTGTATATCACCATGTCTTAATTCAGATAAAGGTGCTATCCATGTTATTAATAATTCAGTAGATGATAATGGTCTTATTGAAAGATTAAGTGGAGGTCCAGCTGGTCTTTGTGGTTCAGTTTTAATATTTAATTCTTGGCTAGGTGCACTTTGACCAGCTGTACCTTCAGCAATAATACGAAATGCATAACGTGTTGCTGGTTTTAAATTTTCAATTAATGTTGTATATTGTGGTGGATCTGATATCTCAATTTGTTGCCATTGATCCATAAAATGTGCTAATTTAAGAAAAAAATATAAATTAAAATAATTCACAATTATATATAAAAAACAAAAAATTATTTATATTATATTTTAACATACGATCTTGTTCTTTATATTCTACTATATATTTTGTAACTTCAGCTGAATCGCCAGATCTTGGTTGCCATTTCAAACTAACTGAACGACTAGTTACCATTGCAGCTTCCAAAGCAGATGGTGGTAATGGAGGCTCTTGTACTTGCAATTGAACTAATTGTTGATCACGTCCATAGAGATTACTTGCTTGACAAAAATATGGTCCACTATCAATACTTTCAACATTAATTATTTGTAATTCTGCTGATACACCCTCTTGAGTGGCATCTTGTTTTACTGATATCCTGTAATTAATAATTAACAATTATAATTTAATAAATTTATTTGAATTCTAAGGAAATTTTTTAATATTTCAAATCAAAGAGCAAAGTCTTAATACAACTATGCGATTATTATAATTATGAAAACAAAATGTTGCATTAAATTTCAAGAGTTGTTTTCTTTTTTCCCACATAAGTAGTTTATTTAAATAGTTAATAGTGGGGAAAAAAATCATCAAAATCATAAAATCAAAACTCATAGAAGTCATCATGTCAATGACATTTTATTGAATTGAACGTAGGAGTACATTAAAAACCGAAAAGTAGAAAAAAATAAAAATAAAATAACCATTAACTACCAAAAAGTAATTTAGACTTTTGTAATAATATTTTTTTTTCTGTTATTTTACAATAAATTGCAATACTTTTTGAAACCTATATAAACATTTTTGTTATTTAACCATGAAAATTGTAAAGGAAAAGTTTATTTTTTTTCGAAATTCATATATAAAAAAAAAAATAAAAACAACAAATAAATCTCCCCAACGCAGTCAACTATTACCGTAAAGGACTTCCGATATAAAAGTTTTATATATAGAGAAACAAAACCGGAAAAAACTCCCTGTTCATTAAAAATGTTTCTGTCTTTCTTTCACTCTTCTGTGTATAACATGAATAAAGGTGTACGTATATGTAAAAATTATTCTATATTGTGTTTGTGTATAAAATTACTTTGTATGTATACATATTATATTATTGTATATGTAAAGGTAAAATTCTGGAATAAAAATTAACCAACTTGATTTTTACTTGATTTTTTGTTTTTGTTGTCTTTTTATTTTATTATATAAATTTATTTTTTTTTATAAATGCATTGACCCCTAATAACCCTTACATATACATATACATATATTTTGTTAATATTATAAAATCTGGGAGAAAACAAAAAAAAAATAATTTTGAAATTAAAATTGTATATTACGTACGTACATAAACCATATACTAAATTAAATCCAACCGACTAAAAATCTACTTAAATATTCACAATAACCCCTAGGTATATCTTACGTTTAGTGGTAACTATATTTCAAGATAAATACATACATATAACTAGATTATTGTACAAGCGAAATATGGGAAAAATATACTTACTTATAATTTGTTGTTGGATCCAATTTTTGTTTACCAGATCCAGCTCTGACCCAAACTACATTAATTGGTTTATCGCCGCTAACTTCACATTGTAAAATAGCTGTATCACCTTTTTTAACCATAACTGACCTAGCCGGTGAGGGAAAATACGGTGAAGCTGTGTATGAAAAAGAAAAACAAAAAAAAATGAAGAAAATTGAAGTTTTATTTTTATGTAATAGCGTTGAGTAAATATAGAAAAAAAAATTAAAACAAAAAATCAAAAAATATTTAAAAAAAAAAAAAAACTTTTTTTTTTATATTTTATTTTTAATTAGTGACTAAATAGAACTTTTTTTTTATTTTTATTTTTTTTCGGTGTAATACGACTCTTTTATAGAAAAGAGCAAAAGTTTTTTTTTACGAAATTTGAAAGGTTTAAAAACAAGAAATAAAAAACAAAAAGTACAATTTTTTTTTACAAAAAGAAAAAAAAAATAAAATGTAAAAAAAATGCAAGCAGTATTTAACAATTGAGTGAAAAAAATGTTTGGAAAAACAAGTAATTTCAAAAAAAAAAGTGGAAGAAGAGAAAAAAAAATCTTAGGAATTTTTTTTTATTTTATTTTGTGTAATAAAAAAAAATGAATTAAAAAGGATACGAGTGGAAAACTAAAAACTATGAAAAGAGAAACAAAAAATTAGCTGAGTAAATAATTTTGACGTTTAACCAATTACAGAATCAGCAGATTAGATTCTCTAAGATATCGATTTAGATGAAATAGTTTGAGTTTGAACATGAGTTTAGTGAGGAAATAATATTCTTGTGTGATTAATTAAATTGAGAACAGTTTCTGATCATTTCAAAATGCGGCTACTTAGAGATAAAATGCAGCTAGACTCTGACTGAGTGCACATTTTTAACTTAGGAAAAAAATTTTTTATTTTTTTTATAGTAATACAGCGGAGCTATATGAATATCAAATCTGTTTTTATATTCTTTATACAAAATTGTATTGTGTTTAGAAGAAAACAGCTAAAATAAGCATTTCTGCGAATTATAATATCATTGTGATATTATATACGTGGCCTTAATAGTAACGGACAGTCGGATTGTGATTCTGTCCTTAAAACCATTAAAAATGTCCTCGAAATTATAGAGGATCGTTGCGTCACGCTTTTGTGGTTAGCGAATCGCGAAAATAAAGCTAGATATGAAGAGGTAGATGAGTTTTTTGGGTTATAAACATTTCCGAAACGGAAATTATAAATTGCTCAGTCACAAACATTTTCGTTTCCCATCAACACATTATATAATCGGATAGCTTAAATAGGCGAATAATGGAATAATCATCTACAGTCTGGTGGTCCCGAATTTGTAGAAAACAAAACGGCGTGTTTGAGCTAATTGGAGTACGGGTAGCTTATGTAGCACCAATTACGTCAAAATACCAACCAGCATTAATATTATTTTAAGTTCACAAGATAAATCAAAAGCTATATAATTTAAAAGAACATTTAAAGGTAAAAGAAAAAGTCTTGAATTAAATTCATGTTTTCCGTTTTCTTTTACAAATATTTTTTATATTTACAAAAAGTAATGGTAAATCAGTCTATTTATTTTGCAAACCTTTAAATATAATTAAAAATTTTGGAAATGTTGGATAAAGATCTTTCTCGCAATGTTGAAATTCTTATGTTATATTGTTGCGAAAAGTTTTTTTATAAGAGCTACTCTTATTATTTGTTTTTAATTGCAAGTTTTATAAAAATATTTAGCACAAAATTTTACTTTGGAACATTCGGTAAACATTTTTTGAATTCAAAAATTTAAGAAAAATTTTTACTTAAAATAAACTTAAAAGTAGTTTTACTCGGAAACAATTAGAAATGAAATTAATACATTTTGCATTTTCGTAATTTTCATTCAAATTACACTAAAAAACTTCAAAAAATATTTATAGTTGGTCTAATGTAAATAGAGAATGAACGAAATTGTTATGATTGTAAACAAAAATTTACTACCTATTTATGTTCGTACGAAAGTATGTTCGAAAGATATAATAAATTTCCCTTACCGTTTGCAGTGCTAAGAAATAATGGTCTGTGATATAGACAAGGGTATATTTTTCATTAAACGTCGAATTCTGAATCGATTTAATCATATCCGTCCATGTGTCCGCCCGTCTAAACCATAACTCAAAAACTAATTAAACTAAGATGTTCACAAATTTTTTATAAGAGTAAATGCCAGAAACCTAGTTAAATTGGATGTGATAGAGAAAGTGGTTACTTACAACTTTCAAAGTTATTTGGCTTGTTCTTAAAAAGTTATAGAACTTACAGTATTGAAATGTTGCACAAGCAAATATTTTATTAGGGCTTTTATATTTGATAAAGCTAGTTGAAATTTCTTAACTTTTGATGGTTCAATAACCTCGAAAGTCATTTGGTCGTATATTAATTCTGAAAATTATTGAAATCACTGTGCTGCGATTTTGCATAAACGAATAACAAACCAGGAGTATTTATGGAACAGTGTGGCCATCAACACTAATCACTTAAAATCATTCATTCGTATGGTTATCACGCAAAGTTGACATGGTCAACTCTACCTATTTTTGTTTTTTTCTTCATTCTTTTCAAAATTTATAGTGCAAAAATACAAATAGAATAGATGTAACCTGGCGTCATTTTATTCATTTTACATGAATTACATAAGTAAACTATTTTAGCCATTTTATTTTTTGCAAAAGAAAACAAAAACCAAAAATTTTGTTTTTCTAGTCGAGTCTCTTTTAGGTAATTTTATTTTTGTGTAGTTTTCCAAAGGATATACTTTGTATGCACTTTTCTGTTGTTGTTATTATTTTTCTTTAGTTGCAATTCTTTTACGATTTCTTGTTTTTATTTTTGTATTTTTTTGTATTAATTAACTTTAAAATAAAAAGAAAAATATAAAAAAAAGAAGTAAAATATAAAAAATAAAAAAAAAAATGTGAAAAATATTTTTTAATTTTGTCACTAGAAAAGAAAAAAGAGAACTTACAGTTAACTTTTAATTGTATAACTTTTCCAATTCCTGTTCCAATTCCATTGTTAGCTTGACATAAATAGTATCCTTCTCTATCTTCTTTGACATGTTGCAGGTATAAAGATCCATTTGCTAATAATTTTGTGTATGGTCTTTCACGAATTTCTTCATAATCACCAGATTTGGTTCCTATTACAATAAGATAATCGAAAATTTTACTTTAAATTCGATATTTTAAAGTTCAATTTCGAAATTCATAATTTTCTAAATAGTTTTCAAAATTCCCTTTCAAAATTTTAAATTATTTGATAGTTAATATTATAATTTATAATTTAAAAATAATTTAAGATATTAAAATAGTAAGATCCTCAAATAAATCAGTTGTTCGTGTTAAGCTTGTTTTCTTAACTTGCTTAATCTGCTTCACTACAAATTATCACTCATATACCTGTTTCAAATAATCTATACTTATTTCATATTTTTCTAGTTGTATGAAATAAAAAGTTTCGGAAATAGCTCAAGTGATTAGTACAAAGCCATCTGATATAAAAATTTAGATCAACACAGTTAAATAAATTTTAAAAACATTTTAGGGGGGTAAATAAATAACGCGGCCAGTCAGCAAGCTGTTAAAATTTTTTAATGTAGAAAATAAATCGCAATAATTTAGTTAATTTATTTTCTGCTGAAATTACAGTGTGGGTCGCCCCTAGTGTGGGCGATCAAACTAATAAACTTGCCTCCTACCGCGTTAATTTATAGATAAACCGTTATAATCAGAGTATTCTTCTCCATTCAACAATAATCAATGATATTAAGTGTCATAATAACAATGAGTAATTATTAATTCTGAAATTAATCAAACTATAAATATTAGTCGGTCATCTTTAATTGCAATAATGTTTGTTTTAGCTCGGGATTATTAAGATGGATTCACGAGAGATTTTTTAATTATAACTTGTGTTTAATTTTTATAAAAAAAAATTCTTTTTAAATTGAATTTATTTTATTTGAGTTTGTCTTAAAATTTTAAAAAATAAAACTTTTTTAATAAAATGAAAGAATATTAAATAAACTTTATTGGAAGAGAATGGGTTTTATTTTTAATTTAGGGAATACAATGTACGTATTGAAGTTCGTATGGCAAAATAGTCTTGAAAATTTTCATTGTATATACGAGTATGTACGGAAATGCTTAATCAAAATAGAGATAGAACTTTTATTTACTTATTTATTTATTTTTTTTGGTAATTTATCTTGATATATACCAAGTATTGAAAAAATTTTCAAATTTTATTTTAAAAATTTTTCCTATAATTTAATTATACGTTATAGAATAAATGTATATTCATAAAAACAAGTATGTATGTGCAATACATATTGGATGGTGTCTGATATTGAAACTTTGAATTGGTCATCAATTCTACACAATTTATTATAAATACTTGTAAGTTTAATATTTATATGTATGTGATCCTTGTATTAGAATATTGACTATAAAATATAAGAATTCTTAAAATTTTCCAACATGCAAATTGTGGCAGGATTTACTTAAGAAAACGCAATAAATTCCTTGCACAAATTATTCTTAACTTTTATTACACATCCATTTTAATTTTTATGTTTTTTTTTGTTCGTTCTTATTTTATTTATATTAAAATTTTATTTGTATATGGAATGAAAATTATTTGGAAAAAAATTTTCTTCGAAAAATATCCTTCCAATAAACTGAAACCATAAACAAAATGGTTTAACAATTGAAAATTGTTACAAAAGTTTTCCAATAAAAGAAAACCAAAAGAAATAAAGGAATTTAATTTTTTTCTTCTCTTTAAGTTTTGTTTGATTTTTTTATTGTTATTTTTCTTTCTGACGATAAACAGGATAAAAATATAGAAAAGAGAAAAAAAAAAATTAGAAAAGTTTCTTTTTATTTTTCTTTTTATTTTTCTCTCTAATTTTTATTGAATTTTTTTTTTTTTGGGCATTCTTTTTTTTCATTTTAACAATATCTGTAAGGATCAACTTTCGTGTATTTTCTTGTTTGTTTTTTATTGGGCCAGTTAACGAGATAATAGTAATAAATTTCAATAAAGTTTTGAATTGACTTTATAAAAGTTTTAACAATTTTTTTTTTCCTTTTTATTCCTATTGTATATTTTTAGTCTCATTTCAATGTAATTTAATGACAATCTTTCAATACAAAAATTATATAAAAAAAAAATGGAATTGTTAAATGATTTATAGGGGCATGTTGAAATTTTGACTTCATTTACAGTGGTGTGAAATTTTTTTCATTTGAAATTGTTGTAAATAATTGTGTATTGATAGTAAAAAATTGTGTAATATTGTTTAAACTTTTGGGTGATGGAATTTGTATTTGAATATTATCTTTAAATTAATACCCCACAAACCCCACGTAATTGAATCCCAGAAGCCAGCTACCGAAACCAATTAACCTTCTTGGCGAGTCTCAAAAGCCGCGTCAAACACCTCTGTCAGATCCTCCAAGCTATCATAAAACAAAATTCCCAGAATGCGCTTTCTTTTGCACATCAGATAGGGACAGGCAATTTTAAGCAGAGTTGTATTTCTTCAAAAGAAAGTTTGATTTCAAAATTTTTATCTTTGCAGTGCGTGCTACTTGACGAAGTATTGCTTTGATCTGATTTATTTTTTAAATTTTGAAAAACAAGGGTCACATAATTAATAAAATTTATTTTAAATACATATTTTTAATAAGTACATAATACACTGAGTTAAGGGAGTGACGGCACTTCTAGATTGTATTTTTAAGAGAGCAACGGAAGTGGCAAAGATTTTGATGCAACTTATGGTGGAATGTGGAGGGTTTATCCTCAAGAGGAGGTAGTCTTTCGGAGGTTTCGTCTTGACGGTAGAGGAGCTAAGGAGCATTAGCACGTAAAATATTATCAAGTAAATTGATAACATTGCTCTCACAGGAGTACTATGGACCTCTTGTCTAATACTTAGTCATGAGGATATAATGGATTTCGTCATGGTGGGCCAAGATCACAATCTACACAATCTAATAATTATAATCTAATAATTACATAATTAGTAAGAAAAAACATTACCTGTTGCTTTTTTCCATACAACTGTTGGAATTGGAACACCTTGTGCCTGACAATGAAGTGTAACATGACGATTACGTTCAACATTAACATCAGTCGGTTCAACGATCCAACGAGGTGGAACTGTGTTTTAGCAGAAAGTTGTTTTTTTTTTTTAATTTTTTTAATTTTTTAATTTATGTTTTTGGTTTTGTTTTTCGTAGGTCAAAAATTTGCACGTAAATTTCGTTTTTGAAGATGGACACAGTCATTTTTGAAGATGAGCCGAAAACGAACAAAATGAAAGTCGAATCCAATCGAAAAAGAAATTTTTAATAACGAGATGAATGGAAAAAAGAAATAGAAAATAAAAACTGTTAATACGAGATAATTTTGAATATTATTTTTTCTTTTTGTTTTTTTTTTTTGCTTTTTTATATTTCAAATTTGAAACTTAAATAGATTGTTGTTTTTCTTTTTTTTTTCGTATATTTTTTTCAAAGAAATTTTTAACATTATTTTTTTGAATTCTAAAGGTAAATTTGGCCAAGCATAGGTTTTAATTATTTTTTATTTCTATATATATACATATACGAGATAATATACGATATTATACGAAATTTTAATACATACATGTATATTTATATTTATATATATAGGTAAATTATATATAAATATATGAATATATATAAATATATATATACCGCATATTTTCAGCAGTGTGCAAAAAAAAATCATAATAAAAACAAAAGAAGGTAATAAAAAAAGCAAACAAAAAAAACGAGGAGTACAAAACAAAAAGAAAAAGTTAAAATAAACCAAAGAAAAGGATAATAATGGAAATAAACTTAAAGGATTATTTTATTTATTTATTTTGGTTTTTACTGGTATTTCTTTTCATTTTTTGTTTTTTGCTTGTTTCTGTTTAATATAGGGGACAAAATACATACATTATTTTTTTTATAAAAAAAAGGAAAAGTATAATAGATTTTGTATATATGATATCGAAAAAATGGATATATATATATATGTATGTATAAGTATGTAGGGTATATTAATAAAAAGGTTGACAATTCGACCAAAAATAATTTCATACATTTTTTTTTTCTTTGTCTTTTTTTTTGAAACAAGGAAGTAAGTATGTGTATAGAGGATAAGGATTTAGATATATCTTATATATTATGTGGGCTATATAAAAAAATATATCAGGGTAGAGTTCTTAATGATATATGTGTATATGTACATTATATTATAATAGATATTTTTATATACTAATATATTGCAAATATATTTATAATATTTCATTATATTATATAATATTTATGTAAAGAAAGAAAATGTATAGGATTTTGTATTTGAAGTTATGGGGAATGTTAATGATAGTATAAAAATGGTTAATTTTAAAAATATATTTTCCAAAAGCAAAAAAAAAAAAATAACAATGAAGACAAAATGACTTTAAATCAAATAGAATTTTGTACAAAAAAAATAAAAAAAAAAGGTAGGAATTTTTTTGTATAAATAATGACAGTATAGAAGTGAAGGAGAGTGAATATTTGCGTATAATATTTGTTGATTAATACTACTCTGAAAGGACAAAATTCATTATGAAAATATATAAGAAATAAGTATATGTACTTAACAAGGATTTAGTTTAGAATGATTTTCATGTTTTTAGGCTTTTTCTTTGTTATTTTTTTGCTTTTATTTTTATTAAGTGTTAACCAATGTGACTATGAATAAATTAAGAATTTCATGTTTTTAAAATGTTTTTAGGATTTATAATTTTATTTTTGGGTATTACGTATATGATTATATTAAAATATTTAATTATATATTATACCTATATACATTAAAATGAATATTATTTAAATAGTATTTTGTGGTTAATTTTTAATTAATTTGCTTTTAGTTTTTTTTTGCTTTTACAGTTTATTAAATGAAAACTGCTATAATATTTTGAAATTAGTATAGGAAAATATTATTATATTTATTTACTTTTGTTTTATCAATCAAAGAAACAAAATTATTATATTTTTATTTATACATATTTAATTTATAAATATGTAATATTGAGTATGAATGCATCTCAAATATAATTAAATTATACACATATATTATGTATATTATTTGTATTTTGTGGTTTTATTTTAATAATAAAGTAGAAAAAAATTCTATATAACAAATTTTTTGTTAATTTTTGATTTGAATTTTTATTGTATTTTGTTAAAAATTTTATTTATATGTTATGTATGTATACACAAATTTTTAAAAAGGAAAAAAACCGGAAATTATTTATCATTTGTGTTTATATAATTTCTATAGATCAAATATACAAATGTATGTGCATTATCTAGTCAGTCAAACACATTATATTATATTAATTATAATGCATTTTGAAAATTAAATGTTTGTGGTTTTCAATTAAGTATATACATATGTATTGTATTTGGTATTCAATAAAATAATAAAATTATAATTTATTTTGAAATTTTTTAATTGAAGCGCTTTTTGTACTATCATATAGTTTATGAAAATATAATTGGTATACATATATAAATGTAATTTTTATATAGTGTAATTTAATCAAATTCAGTCTAGGAGTATTTATGTAATTTCCTGTATGTTTACATTTAATAATATTGTAGTTACGAAGAAATTGTAATTTTATATTTTGTGTATAGTGTCAAGCTAATTTTGCATGACTACTTAAAATGGTTTTCTGAAGCTGGTGTTTCTTTTCGTTTCGAAATATCATAATTCAGTTTTCCATTTACATACATTTATGAATATATGAAAATTTATGAATTTTGTTCTGAAATATTTTTGTTATATTGCAAATTTTTCAAAAAGATAATTGTTATATAAAAAGGCATAATAAATGGGTAAAAAGGCAGAGTCCGATTTAATATTTCAAGTTCTTTATAGGCTCATATAGGAAATGGAATATTGGATATATCCAAAAATATATATTTGTGTGTTCTAAATTCAACTAAATTTCGGATTTTGAAACAATCTTATCATTGAACGTTTCCAGAGGAAAATATCTATCTTAAATAAAATACTATAGTGCGTTTGTATTATCAAAGTATTACGTTATACCTATACACCGTATTTTCTTCATTGTATCGTTATCCGACTTATATAATTAGGGATTTTCATGGAACTACCTACAAAAAAGTGTATAATATATATTATGTATATAATTATAATTAAATTAGTACTACAATCAATTATATATTGAATATATGAAAATTAATAAATATAATTACATTTATTTAAATTAATTTCCTATTTAATTTAAATAAAAGATATTTTTTTAAAATTATAATCACATTATTTTACATATTTAAAACCACATTACTATATAATATTTTAATTTCATGTTATGTATTTAAGGTGAAGCTAAAATGAATCTGTTGTAGTAATAAAATATCATTTTGTGAAGTACAACTTTAGGTATTTATTAATTAAAATTTCACATAGGATTTTATTTAATTAAAATAATTTAAAAATAATAGTACATATAAGTTTGTAGCGCATATAAAGATGAATCGGGAAAATATGCAAGCCAAATACAAAAATTTAACTTATGCATAATAATTGCAAATTATATTTTCAATTCGATTATTTTATAAAAAATTACGTGTTTACATATATTTTATGTAATTAATATTTACGATATTATTTTTACGATATAATATTTACGATATTATTTTTAAAATATTAAAGTACATGAATACTTACGATATTAAAATTCTATTATTATTATTGTATTTATATTGTATTGTATAATTTAAATTCTATTATTATCATATTATTAACCCACATATTATATTATACGATAAAATGTAATGAATTGTCAATATATGAATTCTGTATATACTACGTGAACGTGTGTATTGTGTACGTATGCATATATATTATGTATATGAAAATATGTATATTAATGCAAGTGTGTATTTTGAAATTTCAATAAATTAATCATCAATGAATATATACATACATATATAAATATATTATATAATGTATATATATCAATACATATTGAGAATTGTATATATGAATATAAAATATGTATGCATATACATAGGTATATGTATATAATATTAAAAATGATATATGAATGATTGGTTGGTTATATTTTCATATTTTTTAAAATTTTTTTTTTATCAATATAAATAAAAAAGGATTAAAAGTAAGGACGAATTTAATTTTAATATTTTTTTTTTGTTACTTTTTTTCTTTTTGCCAATAAAAAAAAAAAAAATAATTTCGAAAATTGAAATATTTATAATTACTCAAAGAAGTAATTCATCGAATATTAGTGTGGGAGAATAAATAAAACAAAAAAGAAAAAAAAAAGAAGAAAAACAATGAATATAAAAAATATTTTAAATTAAAATTAAAAAATAAAATTTGATTGATGAAATAATAAATAGTTGAAAAAAATATAAATAACATAAAAGTAATGAATATTTTTTTCATATATTCGATAGATTGTTCAATCGAACATATATATTATTATAGTTGGAATGTTGGATGTTGGGAGTGAGAGAAAAAAAGGCGTTTTGGCTGATTGGATTAAGCGTTACGGAAATTGATTTTTTTGTTATTTTTTTTTTAGTTTTATGGAATATATAATATTTAATTGCATTTTTTGTTATATATTGATTATATACTTTTCATTTTGGTTATTATTCTTGTTGTATACTTGTTTATTTTTTTTTAAACCATGCAGCTAAAGCCATAAGCGTTTTTTATATTTATTTGTTATATATATATTTTTTTTTATTTTGATCACCACTGTAACGTAAAAGCAGGGTTACACTAGAAGCATTAATCATTATTCAAAAAAAAAAAAAAAACATGGTGTATAATATATATAATATTGTATATATATAAAAAATGGTGTGGTTAAAAATATTTTGCTTTTAAAATTTTTCATCGAGAGGGTAATGCAATTTTTTACTCTTTTTTTTTTAAATTGTTGAAAAACAAAAATTTTATATATTGCAGAAAGAGAAAAACAAGAAAACTACTGTGCATCTCTAGCTCTATATGTCAGTAATTTTTTCCAAAAGAAAAAAAACAAAAATTAATTATTTTCCTTTTTACAATTTAAAAATTTTTTTCTTTATGTA